TTTTTTGATGTGACTCCCACTTGGAGTCTTTCTGGGGTTACTTGCGGTCACAAGATCAGGTAAAGCAGGACGGTTGGGTAAGGGGTTAGTGACGCTATCTAGTAAAAATCTAACTGGCCAAAAGAATGCTAACCAGAAAAAATATTTCGCTGGTTGGTAGGCTTTGCTCCATCAAGGGTAACAGGGTAACAAGTAATATTTTGAAGCGACTAATTAAACACAGAGGATTGTATTTTTGAGAAATGGTTAGTGAATGAAATACAATAATTTGATTCAGTCAGCCAGCTACAAAGTAGAACTTCGTACATACGTACATCAGTTCAGCTTGCCATACCACAGAGACGCAATTGTCAATTCAAATCCCATAGTAGTAGAGATAGAAGTATTAGTGGTAATAGAGAAAGTTAGGGTTCGAAGAAATTATTCAAGAAGTATAGTTCAGTGAAATATATTTAGAAAGACAAAGATGGAGGTGATGAGGAATTCGGAAGATTAGAATTTCAGAGAAGACAAATAGTGGATGCATCCGCACACCATCGAAAACGATTTTGAGCCATGTCATTCAAGGTCTAACCGTCGGATACTATTGTGTCGGGGACCACAACAAGTTAGTCTACACTTACCGACATGACTTATTTTAGTTATCAGTGACTTCATAGATCTGTGCCATGTTTTGATATGGCCGAGGGTAGCATTCTTCCAGCCTACCCCTACATGACACAACATAGCTCGTCGAGGCATTCACTGTTTCTGCATTCGTAACACATGTCGCAACCACCTCAATACTGCATCTATTGATTTGCCATCACTACCTACTACTCGTTTCCTAACGACAGAATTGCTTAATCGGTTGTCCTAGGATATACGAGTAATGCTTCGAGGACATATATAAGCGAATACTAATAACCCACGAATATCTTTTACTCTTACTGACCATGTTTCACAGCCATATGGTAGGACTGAGCAAACTGATGCACAGTAAACCTGTCTTTTAGTTGTTAGACGGATATCTCGCCTACGTCATAGGTGACGCAAGTTGGCAAAAGTCAATCGAGCCTTCTGCATCCGTGGTGAGATTTCTTCAATCACCAGACCAACAGGGCTGATGAGACTCCAGAGATAAGTGAGGCTGCCAACGCGCTCAACTAATTCCTTTCCTATCACTAGTTCAGGTTCCGATGTAAGCCAACATTCTGCATTTTGTCAGCGACTTCACCAAATAGAACTGTCACTGGTATATATTTGAAGTTAACAAGCAAATCTCCTGGTACAAGGCATTCTCATGAAAATTCAGACGAAGATAATATTATCTAAAATAGCATGTCTACGATAAAGTTAAACAAGAATGGAGAAGGTGGACATCCCTGACGGACACTACTGGAGGTAATGAATTCCGATGACAGTTCGCCGTAAGCTCTAACTTGACCAGTAGTATCCGAATAGAGGGTCTGTATAACAATTTGGTTCATGTTTTAAATATGAATTATCAATACTGTGGATTAACGCCGAAAAATAATTTGAATTTTATATATATAACCGAAGTTGTTAAGATTTGAGCTAACGATCTTTGTGTTTATAAGAAAACCGTCACATCTCTATGTTTTTTTCTTAGTCAAATGAAGAGTAAGAAATAAACCCCACACTGTCAAGTTATCTAAGTGTACTACAATCAGTCATGTTTTCGTTGATTTAATCACTACATTATATGTATTTTGGAACAATTTTCATTACAGCATCGATTGGAGGTTTGACTACTTCCTATATTTTGATTTTATTTTCATCATGACTATCGCACAAAGCTGTCCATTTTTAATGAGTAAACCTTTAATGAGTACTGTGAATAGCAGGAGCTCTGAAGTGGAAATAATAATTCCCGCCATAGTTTTATTGATTCTCTGCGACAAGACCAAAATCGCTAACATTGGTGGAGTTTATCTCCTCTAGTTCAAATAATTAATCTTAACAGACGATTTTATTTATTTACTATTTTTAATACTCTTTATTCATCTATCTTTTTTTTTTCACTCCCTTTTTTCTAAAAAAGCAATACGTACATTTGATTGTTCAAATAGTTGAGCACTACTCATAAAGTATTTTCAATTCATTTTTTTGTTAAATATCATTTTAGTATTTATTTCTTTAAATTATTTCGTCTAATTCTAGAATGATTGAAGCTTTGAATATTTTTATCATAAAACTAGTTTATTTCTCACTATTATACTACTGTCGATCAATTTGTATTATTTTTTTTATTCATTCCACTGTTATCAGTGACTTATTATTAAATAGGCATGAATTTGAGTTTTGATATTTTCATAGATATGTATGTAAAGATTATTTGAATATTAGAGTAAAGCCTGATGAAGATCTAATTGAAAACATAAAAAGAATTACTTCCAGGTTCTTCATAGTGATGATCTGACAGTGATATCAGTTCATGATTTCAATGAAACTTAACAATCTCCACAATATTGTTCTCTTATATTTTACACATTTGAAATCATCAATCAATCAATCATTGTTAGACCACCATTAGAAACCTGGAAGCACTGGACGTCTGTTTCGTCCTGGTATGGGACTCATCAGCAGTGCGCATCCACGACTCCTGCTCCTCACAGGATTCGAAACCGGGACCTTCAGTATTCTGCGCGAACGCCTAACCATCGGAGTTCAACCCTGTCGGGTGTAGGCAGTATATACCAAAGACAAATGGGTGAGGTCACGCAAAAATCCCTAGATCAATCAGAGTTAGACATTAACACTGTTGGATGATGGGCCAGTGGTCCGATGGTTAGGCGTTCGCGCACAATACCGAAGGTCCCGGGTTCGAATCCTGAGAAGAGCAGGAATCGTGGATGCGCACTGCTGATGAGTCCCATACCAGGACGAAACGGCCGTCCAGTGCTTCCAGGTTTCTAATGGTGATCTAACAATGATTGATTGATGATTTCAAATGTGTAAAAACACAAACCTCCAAAACTCTTCCCCAAAATATCTCTTATATTTGTTTTGCTCTAATTCATAATATGGGCATTTTTGTAAATATTCATTAAAGAGTTGTAGAGATTGTTAATTTGTTTTGAAAGCAGTGTTAGACTAGAGGTTAAGCGTTTGAGCATAAGACTGAAGGTCCTGGATTCGATTCCTGTGGGTATCATGGGTTGTGGATGTGCGCAGTGTTGATAGTTTACTTTCAGCTATCTGTAAACGCACAATCAAAATCGATATCTAATCAGGGTAGTTTAAATGTTGATTTTTGTTTTGATGAATTATGATGGAGCGGTGGGTTGTTTAGTGATTTGAATTTCAACTACTTAATTGCAAATTCCAAATTCACTTTATTTACTTCTATTTGAGCAAATAGGTAGCATAATTAGCTTTTGTAATTTAGAATGTAGCTCAAGTACCTAATGAATAATGAGTTAATAAAATTCCATTCTGATTTATCTTGATTCATTGATCTTGACACGTGAATGTTAGTTTGTGTAAGACAAGATAAAATAGATTTAATTATAACAGTGGGAATCTTATTTATCTAAATGCTCTTTGTATTGCATACACACCTGAGAAAGATGAGTTTAAATTTTAAAAAAGAAAAACAATCAGAGTATAATTTATTTAGTTGACCATTGATTTTTAACAAAAAACAACACAAATGAATGAAAGGGCTACCATGTTTTATAACAATATCTAGACGCAATGAAATATGCAATTTCTTGGTCTATAATCGAAAAGAGTTTTGAGATGGATGAACATATTTAGCTAAATATCAGATCATCATCAGTTGACCATTTTGTTTATACAATTTCATGATGTTGCATGAATGTGAGTAACACATTAAAACCTTTATATGAATATAATACTTACTATTCACACATATTACACAGTGTTGATAATCAATGAGATTTAATTCTTATAGAGATAATAATGGTCGAATACAAACAATGAATGAATACTTTCATAAACAAACTATAGAACTGCAAACATTACAGAGTTATACACTTTATCATTTATAGTTAAACTTATGGTTTTAGAGATGGCCCATTTTAGTGCCCATCGATATCAAGTTTATGATACGGAAGTTTATATTGCCTGTCACTTACACAGTTATCTAGAGATATAAGAACTTTTGCACTATTTACAACAGATCATCACAAAAGATGAATATAAAAATATTAGATCCTTATCAGTCTATTATAAGCTGTTCACACTTCAATACTCCGTAGTACATACATAAGTATGAATATTGTTCACCTAACTTTCGTCGACTAGAATGAGTAGTGATTTACACAAGAAAACAATATCATACACATGTGCAAGACTTAAAATTCATTCTCCCTCCATATATAAAAAAGTTGACATTATGTCAAGCACTTTTTTCATATCTGTTTTCAGAAGATTATCAATGCTGAAATGAAACTAGATTACATCACAAAAATAATTTAAAATGTAACAAAAAAGAATAAATGCTACCAAACTAGTTCAAAACAACGACAGATAATAAAAGAATTGAAATCATGAATGAATGATTATTAGATCACCATTAAAAAACCTGGAAGCACTGGACGGCGTTTCTTTTTTCTAATGCATAAATCACAAATGTGCTCACTAGTGACCAGCTTCGTAAGGAAATTCTCCGAGTTCTAGTGAGAAGACGTGACCAGTTGAGTACAACCCTGTCAGGTGTAGGCAATAGCTACCGAAGACAATGGGTGAGGTAGCGCGAAATCCTTAGATTGAAGTTAGACATTAACACCATTGGATGACAATTCAGTAGTCTAGAGGTTAAGCGTTCGGGCACGAGACCGGAAGTCCTCGGTTTGAATCCTATGAGTAGCAGAAGCCCTGGATGAGCATTGCCGATGAGTCCCATACATGGACGAAACGGCTTTCTAGTGATTTCAGCCTTCTAATGATGGTCTAACAATGATTCATTCATGATTTCAAAGTTAAAAAACGATCTCCATAATACTGTAATGCAAAAATGGAATAATAATTACCTTTCCATAACTTCCTCTACCAATTGTAGAACCAAGAAGAAAACGATTAGCCAATATTTTTGGTGGTTTATTTCTATGTATATATGAAAAACACAACTGACTACTTAAATCATTTGGATTATATTCTGCTATACCATGTGGTAATGTATCACGTTTCAATGTATCATCATGAAATGATTGTCTCATCTTTGATAGTTTGAAAAGAAGAAAGAACAAAAAAGGAAGGCACATCATTATCATCGGTACATAATGTAAAACAAACAATTACAAATGAATGTAGCTATGTACTAGACTATAGATTTGCATTTGTACTATAAAGGACAATAAATACTAGCTGACTAATCAAACTGAAGTCAGTCAGTCAGTCAATCGCAACGTAAAATCTCGTACGTACGTACATTAGTTCAAGTTGTTATGAGCCAATTAGCACAGAAAGATGAAATTTTCCCGGGAAATCTCACAGCACTTGAGGTAGTAATGGCATTAGTGGCAATGGAAAAGATTAGGGATTGAAGACAAGATTCTAGAAAAAAAAAGTGAAATTTTTAAAAACGCTTTGAGGAATTCAGAAGACTAGAGTTTAAGAGAAGACAGAATGGATGCACCAGTGCTATTGAAAACGATTTTGAGCCACGTCATTTACAGTTCTTAACTACTAGTTATGATCAGTACGCGGACCCCACCCAACCAGGTAGTCTGCACTTACTAACATGCCCCAGTTCAACTATCGACGAATTTAAGGAATGATGTCGTATCTTTGCTTTGGACATCCCTGCCTATCTTCCAACCTACTCCAACATCAGTCCATTGAGGTAGATGGTAGTTGTCCTTACGCAACACATGTCCTAACTAACCACTTAATTTGATGAAGATCAACTACATAGTCAATAAGTTTTCCATCTTTACCCAGAACCTTAATCCTAACCTGGGGATTGCTTACTCAGTGGTCTTAGAATACACGAGTACTAGTAACTTACGAATATCGTGCATATGTTACAACCAATATAATTTGGTTGGGTTATCACGATAGGCAGGCCAGACCACCACGTCAAGGTAGCAGCTACGGTAGGGATATTAGTAGTTAAGTAAAACAGAGCATACGACTTTAAGTATTGAGTTACTGGTTTAAACTTAAGAAGCCGTGTTGTATTACTACATTTACGCATATTTATTTTCAGCATATTTATAGAGATTTATCTGCAAGCAAAACTTGTCCCCTTGAATTTCTTGACTCGTCATCATTTATTTTCAATTTACTTTGACTGAGATTCGTAGACTGTAACCAAGTAGTGAAAATATAACCATATTTTAGGTTAGCATTTTACACTACTGTATTCTACGCGTATAAAATTTTCAGTCTAGCAGTGAAGTGAATAATCTTAAAATGGGTAATATTTGCCTTGCGACAACAGCCTATGTGAAGATAAAGACATACCAATGGCTTTATAATTTCGACCACAACAGTAGTTATAATATATAGGTGGAGACTTAAGGAGAACATGGGAAAAAATTGCTAGTTACACCTATTCTCTAGCTTCCTAAAAAATACTGAGTGGTCATTAACTTTACATCCCTTCATCTCCTTTGTTAGCTTTGAGCTATAGCTTTATGTTTACTCAGAGAACAGTGGACCCGTCTCAAATATGTATTAGTCTAATTTGCAATATCAAAAATCAACGCAGTAAGAGTGAATGGCAAGGATTAAAAACAAGTGAATTTAAATAACCATTTCAATACATTGGATACTCTAAAAGAAACGATCTTAATAAGCGGACGAGCAGCAAATTATAAGGACTGAATAGAGTTACTTGTATATAATATACTTTGGGTAGTATTTCTAAAGATCAACTAACTGACTATCGCTTCAACCAAAATGCAGTATCAAGTCCTGTCCGTCAAGACGACCTAGTTGGGCATAAGAATGAAAAACGTTTTTTGGATCTGAGTAGACGGGTGGGTTAGATGGCTTCAAAACAAAACTCAGTCCGTTTTAAGTCTGAGGGTAAGGTCATTATACCAAGTGATGTTTCGCAGACTTTATAAATTTAGAACCATTATCGTAGGTAAGACAAAAATGCTGAGACGTTACCTGGAATTTTTCATTTCGATATGGTTCGGAATCAGAATAAGAATTAACAAGCATTCGATATCGTTCCAGAATTTTCAGGTCATCATCCGGATTGCTACCATAGAAAGCTTCCATAGGATTAATATCATTACGCAGCACAGAGGCGTTTCTGTCGCTTTCCGCACTACTTCCTGCTTGAAATTTGAGGTCCTGTTTAGTTTTATTATTCTGCCTTTCATCATTGAGATTTGAGGATTGGAAAGACAGTGGTTCAGCCATTTCTTCGAAAAAGTTTGCAAAAACCCCACTTCCACCGGCAAGATTTTGACGTGATTGACTGGCTGAATTTTGATCTTCAACAGTAGATTCAGAAACATCTTGAAATGCGTCTTTTAACTCATGAGTCATATGATCGTCTATCCTTAACATTTATTTATTTTGATGGTTAAAATAGCCACTTCTTGGTCTCATGAACGCTTATTAGGCAAAAATGATGCCGTTCCAGTGAAAATTTTTTAAGCAGTACCTTATGTATGGTAACGAATTAACTAAACGACTAACACACACTTCATTTGTCCTACATAACGTAGCGCAGTAATCAGAAACCCCGGGCCAGATCCAATAACCAATACCCTTTTCTTTACTCTGGCTTTATGTTCTTTAGTTGAGGTTCCAGGTATTTGATAATGTTCACTGAATGGTAGTCGCTTGACTGAGTGGTTAATTTCAAGTGGTTTAAACAGTTATATGTAGTATAAAACTAGTATTCACTTCACGATCTCATGCATCTAATGGTAGTGGATCACCGAAACTTCAAGGTAAGAACCCAGATAAACTTAACGAGAAACAGAGAAATATTAGTACCTTATCATGAAAAAATGCCTCGAGTCCTTGTGAATCTGTCAAGTTTCTTCTTGATGGACTCTTGAGAAGTCTCGTGGACCATCTTACCAGGCGGTGAATTCCAGAATTGAATACCATTAAGATGTAGAATATGTTCTTACAGCCCATTTTATGATGTTTTTCATCTAGTTTCTAGGTGTTTAATGTTGAGACTGGGGTTGGGTATGCGGGACTTATAGTAAATGTATTTATTGTGCAACTAAATATATCGTAATGCAGAACATTCAAGAACTTGTAGTGACTCCACTTTTATGAAGCGAACGCGATTGGTTCAATAGAAATATATGTTATCATAAACAATTGTACCAGTGGTTGTTTTACTGTTATCTTATTTTAACTGAATTGGTTTGACCTAATTATCGTTCACCTGGTCTTCATCTCGCTCATTATATGCACAGTAGTCTCGCCTGTATACTTTGGTACGATCTCTACATTATTTCGATATCACGAGATTGTCAGCAAATACATATTCACTCCCAGGTCAAACCTTCTTGGTTTTGCTTTTACGGGGGGAATTTGCCTGGCGACTGTAACGTAATTGGCCTTGTAATTGTGATCATAGTCAAACGTGACTCGACCCACTACAAACTCATGGGAGTCCAGCTAAACTCCATAAACTTCACATATTTTAAACTGATTTTGTAAATGAATCATCGTTTGAAGCACAGTTTTTTTATCGTGGAAATGACCATCGACCATCTAGGAGAATTTTAATTCAGAGAATCCGTAATCACATGGTTAGAATGACAATTCATTTCACAGTAGACATGCAGGCCCAGTGAAGACTAATAAAGTTGGTGATTCTCATTTTAATTCTGACTATTTTGTAGATAATACACAACCCTCGGCAGACGGTCCTACTTTTAATTCAGATGATTCCTTTTACAAAAGTGATGCTTAAGATAACTTTGTATAAGTGAAGAAAATGAAAATTAGGGTACTGAACTTGGAAGATCTAGCAGAAATTCAGAGGAATCAAGACTGAATTATGAACACCTAGATAGACAAACGGAATATGGCGACTGTGGTGAATAGTGAAAACATTTTGTGATGTTAGTATTTGTATGTTGTTATCGTTTCTATTTTTCGTACGTTTATCGGAGTTTCTATGTTTCCTTCTGAACTGCATTTGTTGTTTGAATTGGTACTTAATTATGGCTAAAGAGATATCGGATTTGATACTTTGGCGGGTAAAACGTGCATCTGGACTAGAAGGGTGCAATTTTGGATCAATAATAATAATAATAATAATAATAATAATAATAATTTATTCTCAAATAACAAACATGTTACAAGAGACATGCCAATTTACAGGCAAGATCAAAATGTTAAGATTAGCAACATATTTTTTTCTGAAAACGGTATAAAGTTACTGAAACATTTCACAAGATTCATTGTTTTCTTAAAGATGGAATGTACAAAGCGATCAATTGGCGCAAGTTACGAAGGTTGCGTTACGACAATCATCTTATGGGCTGAGAAATGATTCATGGTACAGACAGGTTTTCATATAACAAGAATTGATGCGGTAAATGTACAAAAGTCTGGTTGATATTCGTCAGCTAATGATTTCACATGTTCTTGGCTAGGGTAACCAAGTCTACTGCAAATATCCAGACTAATATATGTGGATTGGAATAAGGTTCTGAAAAAAGAGGAATAAAGAAAACGGGACGGAAGCATTCTTACAGAATCGAAAACACATTGTGTTATTTTGGACGGAAAACAATATAATACTGTTTAGGTAATTATCTGTATTTTTTGATTAATAATAGAACCGTTTCTTACACAGACAAATTGCTTTCTTTATGGATTAACTGAGCAAGGAGCATATCTGAACTTCTAGAACTGTTTTTCCGAAATCAGAATCCACTCTGAGATTTACACTCGTTTCACTTCCTACCAAGAAATCTTATTACAAGCAGATCTCGTAAATTATGGTGACAAAGAGCTCGCTCATGACTTCCAGAGCTACAGAGTTAAAAAGAGAAAGAATAAATAAAATATCACAAAAGCATCACATCACTGTGCCTTCATTATTACATTCTGTAAATCAGTTTTATTTCTGACAATCTAGCTGTTCTGAATTTCCTCTATTCTTGCGATTAATTACCCATTCGTTATCTTAATAGTGACTTGACTTCATTAACCTATATAAGTGCAGGTGTACGGTTAGTTTCCTAATACAGAATAAGAAAGGTTTGAGTAATCATACCTTTTTTTGTATTGTCCAAAAATATTATTTGCAGAGTCACGACTCAGCTTTAACCAGGAATATTTTCTGTTTTGTTCCTTGCCCCTTTCTCTTTATTTCTCTTTTTCGACACTTTAAATATTTGTTCGAATAATTGCCAAAGACTTGGTTACTTTACCCAGGAGCCTTTAAATTTATAATCTGACGAATATCAACAAGATCAATTAGTGGTCAGTATGAATTTTATCTTGACTTACTACTGTATTGACTACTTCAACATGACAGGTTAAGTAGTGCTTTGGTTATATATATACACTTGCCACACTGCTGCCTTTCTCTCTCTCTCTCTCTTTTCTCCTTTTCAGACCACCATTCACGGTGGGAAATACTTGGCGCCTCTAGGGAACATTCATCCTATGTACCTGACCGTCTGTATCACAGCTCGTAACAAGCGCGTTCCAATAGACCTTTCCAAACAAATTCACTATTGATCTCGATAAATCGCCAAAAGAACCTATTGTGCACCTTCCTTATTTGTACTCTACTATTGAAAATGTGGCTGTATTATACTGTTTCTGTCAGTGACATGGTGTAAATATGCTATCAGAAACTGACTCTTACACTTGATTTAACTGCTAAAACTTTACAGTAATTGTGAAAGCATTTGTGACAATTTGATCTAGCCTGTAAACTGGCGTGACTCTTGTAACGTAGTTATTTGAGAATAAATATTATTATTATCTAAATTCATCTGACGGACCAGTTACCATTAAATGCAATATCCAATATATAATCCAATATATTTTTCACGAGCTGGTATAAACCAATTAATTTTTTTGCAATCGATTCTTGTTCTATCATATTACCAGACCGGAAATCAGTCAATTGCTACGTGAAGAATCATAGAGACAAAATTCTAATGCTTATAAGGAGAGGATTTCAGAAACTAAGTAACATATAGATAATCTAGTTTAATAAGTGATCATGAAGGTTGTGAGGAAGAACCGAAGCGTAAGTAAGCAGCGGAAACAGTGATAATAGGCGAGATAGATTAATTCAGTGGTCTTAGGAGATGGTAATGATAACAACTATCAGGTCTCAAGAGGTGCATTAAGCACAGCTTGTCCAAGAAGGTGATGATAATCCGTATGTCAGCACGCGTTTATCAAGCCTCCTCTTAAAGCTGTCCACTGAGGAGGCTGTGGTCACCTCGGCTGGGAGAGCATTTCAAGGTGCACAGACTCTTAATGTGAAAAAGTGTGCACGAACTTGAGCATTCGCTCTTGATGTGCAGTTTTTTGAGGATTACTCCAGGAGAGTGGTGGTGAAGCATCGGTAAGATGCTCTTGTTAGGATTTTTGGCGTGCTTAATATGTTGTACGCCATAATCAGATCACCTATGATTCTCCTGTAACTCAGACTCAATAAACTCAAGTGCTGGAGTCTATCTTCGTAAGGTTTATTCTTCAACCCTACCACCCATTACTCTGATCGTCTCTACACCTGATCCAAGAGATTTATGTCTTTTTTTAGCAGAGGGGTTGCGATGACGCTGTGAACCTAAACTAAAGAGGCAATCGCACAGGAAAAGCGTGCTCTTCGGCTGACTTACGAATATTCTGCACTCATTAAACTCCTTTGAAATAAACTTAAACGCTCTAAAGTGAAAAGAGGGAGCATATGTATAAAGGACAGCTATGTGTATAAAGACCCTAAATGTATAACAAAGCTATTTAGCGAACATTTCTGTGCTACATTAACAAACGAAAACACAACAAATGAATCACACCTCACCCAAATTCCTTCCTGTGAAATCGTCAGAGTTCACTTTAGTGTACAGAACATTTGTAAGGTGATTAATACACTGAAGCACTCTAACACTGAAGGACCAAATGGTATCCCAACAGGCATGGGAGCAATGATCTGTGTGCGATTCTTCATATACCATCTACTATATCACTCCTTACAGAGTGTTACCTTAATAACTGGAAGACTGCACATATCATCCCCGCAATTAAATCTGGGACTACAGCGAATGTTGAAAATTACCGACCCCTAAATATAACTTCGATAACATCTAGGGTGATGGAGAAAGTAGTTAAGGCAGAGTTAATACAACATCTACTTAGTAACAATCTGAAATCGACCATCACAGCATGGGTTTTTGAGGTCTAGGTCGTGTGATACATGCCGTGCTAGATTATTTCAATATCACGCAAAAACAAGACAAAGGGCTTCTAGTATTTGTACCGTTTTTTCAACTTCAAGAAGGCTTTTGATAAGGTGCCCGCACAAAAGGTTCTCCCTAAACTGAAGTCATTTGGAATAAGTAACCCATTATTTTCATGGTTTGTTTCATTCCTCAATGCGCGCCAACAGATTGTTAAATACAACGATTGCCTTTCGTCACCAAGACCAATAACCAGAGGAGTTATCCAGGGAAGTGTATTAGGTTCACTCCTGTTTCTCATATACATAAACGATACATGTAATGCTATAGGAGTTGGAAGAGCATACTTATATGCTTTTGATCTCAAA